AAAGTTCGCAGAATAATAACAATCACGATCGAAAAGATAATTGATGTATCTCAAGGAAAAGAAAAAAATTATTTTGAATACTACAAAAGAGCTAGTAATAGCAACACCACATAAATTTTTTCTATTCGATGATTTCATCAAAATGAGTGCAACTATTTGAGTGAGGACGGTCTAATTATATAATATCTGAAATCTAATTTTGACAATGTTCGTTTTAAATCACTTTTTAATTCATTATTTACATTTTAAATGTCCAGCATATACAACTAAAACGACGTGAATAGAAAAAGAAAAATGTTTTTTTTTTGATTTTTTGATGTTTTTTTTTTTTTTTTGATTTTTTTTTTTATGTATAAAAAAATAAAATGTCCGTATATTGGGGGATCGACCAATTCGCGTAGGTTGTTGGCATTTGATCCCGAGATGACGAGATGACGAAGAATCGGATGAAAGGTAAAAGGGAATCCGTAAGAAGAAACAAATCCAATGGAATCACGCGATTTTTGCAGGGAAGGCTTACATCAAACGGTTTACGATACCGAGAGCGAGAAGGAAGCCTGATTGATGACAATAGTTCCAGACTATTTTGTTGATTGTTTTAGAGGGAGAGTGATACCACGATTCATCCCGGACAATTTTTTTTCTTACGGAATACGGAAGTTTGATATTGGAAAGGAAGCGTAAAACTTTATGAAGGGACCAAAAAACATTTCAAACTTCAGCTTCTTAAATATAAATAATTTATGTCTGCGCTGTAATAGGTAAACAACCAATAGAATAAAAAAAAAAAAAATTCCAATTTTCGTGTCACTTAAAATTAACAACATATTAAACCCCTACTTTGTGATTTAAAATTTAAAATATTAAAATATAATAAGTTTTTTTTTTTTTTTTTTTTTTGTTTAAAAAAAGAATAAAATAAAATAAAATAAAATACCGCAATGCATTCCAAAAAAAGAACCCCATACAATTAAAATAGTTAAATTAGTGATTAAAGTTCATTTAAATGAATTTGTAACACAAATAATTCTTTTAACCGGTACTTCCTGTTCATCCAGTGAATCACCAAATGTTCTAAATATCAAATTCTAAGATTTACATGAGGCAAAAACACGCGATTTCTGTTTTCCTTATCATATGCCGTGTGTCGCTCCCCCACAAATCTTTGTTTTATCGACCTTGTGATAGAATGAATTGAAAGAATAGGTTTGATCCGCTTTTTTTTTTGATGAATCATTCTTAATCATTAGGTAAGTAATCCTTTGTACGATTTCTTTTGTTCGCTTGGCAAGTTCACTTGGCAACAACGCTTTTTTTTTTTTGACGTTGTATCACAACTGTTTGTTTGTAACATAATAGCACGGGGCTTCCTTGAAATGTCAAACGACGCGGCTTTTAATTTAATTTGTCTCAAATTTGAACCTCGATAATTCTCCGAATTTATTTTTATTTTTATTATATATATATATTTAAAAAGATCTTTATTGGTTCCGCAAAATATTTAATTAAAACTTTAAATTTTTGCCAAATGTCATACTTGTGCTCCTTATCTTTTTTTTTTTTTTTTTTTTTTTTTTTTTTTAATTCTATGATAAGAAACCTTCTACCGTGGCGAAAACCATCTTTGTAATAAAACCTTACGCCCATGAGCGACCGCATGACAACAAATTGATGCATATCACTCCATACGGTAAATAAAGCACGCATCGATAAGAAAAAAAAATGGTGATTCCTTTTAGTCTTGAAAAATGCGTTCATCGGTTTGACAAGAAAAATGTTTGTTGACATAATATACGTATGACATTTTATTGTTGGGCTCATTGTTCTCTGCAGTTTCTAAAACAAAAGTTAGCCATTGTACAATCAATAGTTCCTGTGAGTGATTTATGGTGGGGTGGGAAGAATTTTTAGTTGGCGGGTTTCATTTTATCGAATCCATTTTTTATTTAATCGAAGAAAAATTTTCTGAGAATTGATCATCAACTCCCAGACACTCACAGGTTTTCCCTTCGTGAAACTCAAAATTAAGGTTTCTTCTTATTATTGTCAGATTGCATCTTTTCCCTTTAATTGGCTCAAAAATCTCTTTGAATGAACGAAAATTGTCCGAGCAATAATATATATACAGTATATCTATATATATTTATATATGAAATGTTTTTTTTCTCTTATGTGATTACGAAGATACGCGGTTTTCCTCGAGTAGGTCATATAAAATAAAAAAATAACAATCATCATTATTATACCGATAATAATCAAATTTCATAATCAATTGTGATTTTGTGAAAACAAATAAAAACATTTAACTTGAAAAGCTAAAAAAAAAAAACGAATTTATACTTGTATAAAATTAAGGTTCGATTTTTCTTTTTTCTTCGACTTGTACCCCTTGATTAACAATCTAAACCTCTAAAATCGACACAAGGGACGCGACATAAACTCGCATAACACCCACCTTTTTTTGCATTTATTGGCTCACGGAAATCAGCTGATTGGCAAATAAAATTCATTAACCATTTGCGTTTAAAGCTATCACGTTAAAAATTTAAGATTTCAAGTCTTAAATGTATCGAATTTGTAAGAGTGTTTCGTTGGATAAACTGATCACGCAATTTCATGTGAAATCAGATACCTTGGACTAAATAATACTCAAGTTCTTTCTTCCAATCAATGAACTTTTTGAACCGATTGTATTGAGAAAAAAAAAATAATTTAAAATAAGTAAACATCACATCTAAACATACATATACGTATACATATAAATACATACATGTGTGTGTATATATCTAATATTGTACATGGGACCACTAGTAATGAAGGTGAATAATCAAAAATGATCACCGGATATATGTATATATAAATAATAATATACCACAGTATAGATAATCGGTGTTTGTAACGCGTTACCCTTTAGATTGCTAGTACTTTAATCTCTCCCTAATATTCGATTCTCGGAATAAATTCCGTGGTGCCGGTGATTATTTAGCAATATTTTTCTCTTTTTTTTTTTTGTTTTTGTTTTTGATTTAAATTGAGGAGAGTGAGAAAGGGCGATGATAAGAGTCTTCATATAAGGTTAACAAGGAGTTATTGGTAAAATGTGAGAGATACTGTATATTGAGAAACAATTAATACTTAAATATTCACGCCAAATAAATAAAGTTTCGAGGAGCAATGCAAAATCAAGTTTTTTGACAATACATAAATTTATGAATCATTTTTTAAATTTTACACAAAAAAAAAAATAATAATAATTGGGGAATTTTTGAGAAAATAGGCTGAGATGACGATTTTTTCCTGAAATGATCGACTATAAGTTCGACTATATGTTTAATATCGGGGGTGTCTCCTACCTAAATAGGTTAGGATAACGCCTCAGGTCTTAAACAATAACATAAGTTTGACATCAATCAAAAGTGTCAAGCAGATCATTGCCGTCTCGAAAAGTTGATTTAGAAATACTTAATAATTCACAACCGGTTCGTGCAGCAAAAAATTTAATTAAATTTGCATTTGCATCGTGTCACCGTGTTACGCCATTTTCATTTGTCAGCGGAAAATTCTTGATCGCCTGAAAAACTTTGAAAAAAAGTTACGACCGATATCACGTCTACTTTACAGTTTTTTTAAAGAGTTTTCAACTTTTCTTTTCTTTTTTCTTTTTGTCTATAGGATTTTTGATATGAGAAGATATACGCATCGTGTAAATTCTTTTTTTTCCCTTTTTTTTTTTTATCAAACGATTAAATTAAATTTCCAGCTAAATTTATTAATTAGAAACGTGTGAAATCTTCAAGTTGGGAACCGAACAACCACCATCCCATCCCCATTTTTTTACCAAGCCGAGAAACGTTTGAAAATCATATTACATCACGATTCTTCCTTGAATTAGGAGATTACAATTTGGTATCAAATAGCAATCCATTTATCTTCACTTATAAATGTCATTTGATCGCTTTGAAAAGTTTCCGGTTAGTCACACCCGGTTGCATACTTTTGCTAATACGATATTTTTCAAATATCCGACCTACGACCGATTTAGGTTGAAACAACTTTCGCTCTTTTCTCTTCGTCGTACCTAAATCAAAAGAAAGGAGAAGACAAAAGAAATATTGTCTTTTGCGTGCGAATAGATGATGTAGGCAAATACCTTTTTTTATTTGATCCAATTTAAAACGTTCATATGAAAATTAATCTCGTTCCGGGAGATGGGTGACTAATCATTTAACTCGATTACTAGAATTCTGCATGCCCGTTACATGCCTGTGCCTTATAATAATTTTGGTCACAGGCACAGACACAAGCATGGGCGCCCGGTGCTTGATAACAAAAATGCTAGGCACTTGGATGGACACTTGCACCAGCATATGGCTTTTGACATGTTTACTATACATTCATTCGATTAGCAAACAAAACATTTCTTTCTTTCGGATGAGACAGGGATTATATTTGTTTTCTCCGACTTTCTTCAAGACATGAATGCATATTTATCCCACGTCAGTTTGCGAAACAGGTATTTAATTAGTAATTATCAATGATTCCCAAAATGTGAAGACGCAGACATTGAGTAATGATGGACCATCTCTAATGTCCGGTATGAAATAAACAGTAACCTGGCATGATGCCCGACATTGTCTCTTGCAGAACCCTAATCTATTTCGTTGGATATAAATTTTAATGCACCTTAAAAAGTTTTCATTCAAAAAAAAAAAAAGAAAAAAAAAATTACGCGATAATTAGGCTTTGAAAACAATGGGCATCCTCCTTTTATCATGACGATTGTTTCTTTTTATTTACTTTCATTATTGTCACTGAAGTTCAAATTCGGAATTTTGCGATCAAAAAACTCGCAAACAAAATTTATAAATAGTAAGTTACACGAATTGTATTTTACTGCGGTTGATAAGATAAATCGGATATTACTTTTTTTTTTTTTTTTTTGTTACTAATTACTTTTTTATAATTTTCTTAATCCCTCCGCGAGTATATTTATATAAAAAATGCCAAAAAGAGTAAATTATTCATTAATTCCTTTATGATTTTATGATTTTTTAATTGTTTGTTGATGATTTACAAATCTCTCCCTTCAAAAAAAAAAAAAAAAAAAAAAATTGTAGAAAAAGAGTAGAACTCATGTTAAGGTTGATGAAAGAACAGATAATCCTGATGGATCAAAAATACCAAAAAGTTTTGTATTTAAATCAGGCGACGTAGGAAAGACTGTTGAAGCATTAGTTAGAGATATGAGAAGAGTTATGGAACCGCATACTGCAATACGATTAAAAGTAATTATTCTCGGTATTATTTTGTTCCTTTTAATTAAAAGCATTCGCTTAACAAACAACAAACCTCTTTCATCTAAACTTATTATTAGGAACGAAAATCAAATCGATTAAAAGATTTCGTAGCGGTAGCGGGTCAATTGGGTGTAACACAATTTTTAATATTTACACGAACGGAGAATGGAACCAATTTTAGATTAACAAAAACTCCAAGAGGGCCAACCTTATGCTTTAGAGCATTAAAATATTCTTTAATCAGAGATGTTTTATCATCTCAAATTAGTCCAATAAGTTTTGGAACGGAATTCCTTACTTCTCCATTGGTGTGTAATTTAACTTTTTATTATTGCTAGTAATATAATTATTGGAGTGAAAAATTATTTAACATATTTTTTTTTTTTCGTTTTAAGCTTGTATTAAATAACTTTGGTGGTGAAGAAAAACAAATGAAATTAATGACAACTATGTTTCAAAGCATGTTTCCTTCTATAAACGTCAACAAGGTAATTAATTTTTGTCTTGGGTTCCTAAATGTTGTAATAAAATTTTATCTTAAACCCCATTGATTTATAATAGGTTCAATTAGCAGAAGCCCGTAGAGTTGTATTGTTTAATTATAACAGTGACACGAATACGATAGATTTTAGGCATTACATTATAAGAGTGAAACCAATAGGAATTAGTAAAAGTGTACGAAGAATAATAAATTCTAATGTGCCGGATTTACACGAATATCATGATATTAGTGAATTCGTATTGAGGTGATCTATGAGTTTTATGAAATATCTATATATTAGGATTCTTATTTACCAATTTTCATTTTCATTTTTTTTTTTATTCATTTAGGGAAGGGCATTTTTCAGAAAGTGAAGCTGAAAGTGGATTTGAAACCACAGTAACATTGGCGCAAGATTTTGTCGGTAAGATTAATAAGAAAGCTGATCAACGTGCCATAAAGTTAGTTGAAGTCGGACCAAGAATGGAATTACAATTGGTTAAAATTCAAAGTGGTTTTTGTGATGGAGAAGTTTTATTTCATGAATTCTGTAAGTAATTTCTGATCATTTATCCCAAAAGTTAAAGATTTAATTAATTAACAAGAACAAATCCTGTTTTATTAGTTAAGAAAACGCCTGCAGAGATAAAAAAGATTGAACGTGAAAGACAACAAAAGAAACAACAAGCTGCTTTAAGACGAAAAGAACAAGAAAAAAATGTTGAAAGGAAGAAAGCAGAAAAAGAAGCCCATAGAATAGCCACGCAAAAAAATGGTAATTTGTCTTTCATAATTCAATTTAAAATTTTTTACTTGATTTTTAATGTGCTTGTTTTTAAAGGGAAAAAAATGGAAGTTGAAGATGAAGAAGATAGCGATGACATTGACAATTCCGAGGAAGAGCAGCAACAACAATCATCCGCAGATGAGATGGATAGCAATGATCTTGAACCAAGAGTACATGATGGAAATTTGTCAACAGAAGACGATGATGATGATGATGATGATGATGAAGGTGACGATGATGATGATGACGTGTTGTTTAAAGAGGATAATGATGATGATAATAATTTGGATGATGAATTTTCAGATTTTGAGAATTCTGAACATATTAAGATAGATAAAATGGAAAGTCAGGAAGAAGAAAGTGAAAATGAAAAAAATATCTCGGTTAAGAAGATAAAAAGTATAAAGCATAATTCCAATAATAATCGGAGAAAAAATAAAATCAAAAATGCATCTAAAGGCAAACCTAAATTTTCAATGAAAGTTGAGGTTTAAATAAAAAAAAGAAAAAGAATTTTATATTTTGCAAATTGACGCAGCTAGCAAATATAGTATGTAAATTTATCAATAAATTATTCATTCTCAAAATAAAATTTTAATATGTGATATGTGAACAATATCTGATATTATAAGTCATTAACACGTTTATTTCAATCACGAGAACATTTTTTACCGAAAAAAATGTTATTTTTATTCAATAGAGAAAAAATTCCATTTGTATTCATAAAATTTTCAAAAGCGAAATCAAAGTATTTTTTTTTTAAAAATTATTTTTGATTTTCCTTAATTGTCTTGCGAGCCTGGATCATTATACTTTCGACAAGTAACTGTGCATAAAAACCTATACCTTTATAACGCCAATGACTTATGATTATGCAGACTTTATTAAATTTGACGCTACTCATAAAAATATTATATACTGCTTCTTCGGTAGTTATGATTTTCGGTTTTGTCGCCTGAATAACAAAATCGTTAAAGTTACATTTGTTACTTTTATTGTCTGATATATAATAGGTAATTAAATATAACACTTTCAAATAAATAACCTTTCTCTTTGAACCACTGAAATAATATGATTCCTTTATCCTGATGTTTTCGTTACCTGTAGGACCATCGAGAATAATGTCTTTATAATCATAGAAAAAATTACTCGCATCTTCGTGTTTAAGGAAATGTATATGAGCGTAGCTATATTAAATTAGAATCAATGGATGAATTTTTTCAAAAAGTCAACATAAATAACAGAAAAACTTACCCAACATGTGGTTTTTGTGTACATGTTCAAATGAAAGTTTTATTGTCTCCCGTAACCATATTCCAAGGTATTCCCCCTCAAGGCCGTTAATATCTCCATATAACATAACTTACAAATCCATTAGAACTTTTTCGCAGTACAAACGAAAGTAATAACCTTCGCCTCCGTTTATTTTTTCCATTATTCCATATATTTGATTTGATATTTAACGCCGATTTATCGGTTTTTTTTAAAAAGTGGATTTCTCCTTTTCTACTGACCACCTCCCATTTATTAATCTCAAAAAATTAAAAATACTATTATTTTTTAATATGTCTTAATAAAATAAATCCAATAAACTGAGTTTTCCTAATCGTGAGATACATTTTGGTAATGCACTAGGAGGTAATGGGAAATATAATCTCTATCACAATGAGATCCCTGTAATATTCTTTTAATATTAATTGTCCACTTAAAATTCGTTGCTGATTATTTAAGACATTGCTTTTCTTCACCACACGGTTACATATGTCTTGAAATACAATAAGATGATGAGACATATCTAAAAAAAAAAAATAAATTAGATTGATTAAAGTTATAGAGAAAATAAGATTTTAAGTTGATTTCTTTATGGACCTTTCACATCGTCGTTATGCACAAGAGATTTCATCCAATCATAGCTGGCTTTATACATATCACCAAAGTTCATCTCTTCGATAAAGGAACAATACTCAAACAATGTCACATCTCTTTTTATTTCAGTTTCACGATAATATTAAAATTATCTCTTAATTGAATCTTTAATTCATCTGGTAGAGATTTTATAAGCGTTTTAATAAGCGAACATAATTTTTTACAAAGTGATTCTTCGCTTTGATCATAAGGATTCATGATTTGTCGTTCCATGATAATCTTACTGCATTAGAACATCATATCCGATCAACTTCTATACATTCATTTAATTCATGAAAGTATAGATTTTTAAATATTTCTGAGATGAAAGTCGAGAAACAATATTCATCTTATATAAAGGATAAAACTAATAAATCATTTGGAAATTACGCGATTACGCGCGGCTGATTTATATATTACACAATTACGTGACCACGTTATTAAAAAATAGTAAATGATTAAAGTGATCGACTGCGGGGTCAAACTTTTTGATCATTTCTTTTCTAGTGGAGAATTTTTCCTCTATTATAAATTATAAATGGAAACCCATTGGAAAAAACTATTATGGAGTCCTATACATACAGCAAAAGCGAAAATGGATTATCATAGTAAACATCCTATGGACTTATGTTTTAATGCTGGTGAAATCATCGAAGTTCTTGGCATTGGTAATGATTAAATGATTACAGAAATTCATTTAATAAATTATGATCGAATTAAATGATATATACAAATCTCTATTATAGAGAATGAAGACTGGTGGAATGGAAGTATACCAAACTCAGAAAGGTCTGGAGATTTTAAATTTGGCTCTTTTCCAAAAATATTTGTAGAAGTTGTAGAACCCACTAGCGATTCTCAACAACAAAAAATTATTGTTTCTTCGATAAGAAATAAAATTAATTCAAAACCTAGCTTGCCTCCAAGAAAAAATTCAACTATAATTTCAGATGACAACTCTACCGTCTATAAAAATAATAAAAAATCCGATATTTTCAGTAAACTACCGGAATTACTGAACAAATTACCGGAACTATCTAATCCCAGTTATTCACAGACGAATAATTCTTCACGTGGGAGTGTGACCGAAAGACCTGCCACGCCGATTAATATTGATCATAATTATACTATAGACTCTTATGAAGAATTTGATGAACTAACGAATCCTGTCAGGTATCTATTTATTCATAAAGTACTTTTAATTTAAATAATATTAATAATAAAATATTTCCCATTCCTTTTGCAATAAAGTCTATGTGAACCAGTCGTTACAGATGATTTTGAAGGCTTCTTTGATGCATCGGGTATATATATATATTAATCAACATCACTTTTTTTTTGTAAATTACATAGCAATACTAATGTTTGATATTATTTTTAGTTGTTGATTTTTCAATTATCGATGAATATGCGCGAGAAACTCCAGAATTAGAATCAAAAACGATAAAAGGATTGTCTCATTATCTTACATCTGTGTGGGACCATCCTTTATATAAATTACGAGCAATATTTGTATGGATTACAGACAACATCTCTTATGATTGTGAATCATTTTATTCAGGTATTGCGTAAATTTTGATATAACTTAGTTTCAATGAAAAAAATTTCATTAACATATGATAGACCATACCCATCTGTTTATTAGGACGGCGGTCTGCTAATGGTGCGAAAGATGTATTAAAGAATAGAATGGCCGTGTGTGCCGGTTATTCTGAGTTGTTTTATGAGTTATCAAATGCAGCTGGGTTAAATGTAATAAAGGTTAATGGATGCGCTAAAGGTAATCGATTATCTGAAATCAAGATTAAACCAATTTTTTATTTAACCTTTCTCTTTTTATAGGTGCCGGATATCAAATTGGAGATGATGTATCGAGTTATGGACACGCATGGAACGCTATATTATATGAAGGAGAATATTTGTTGATAGATAGTACATGGGGAGCTGGACATGTTAATAATAAACAATTTAATAAACATTTTAACCCATTTTATTTCATGTGTTCTCCTATGAAAATGATATTTAATCATTTACCAACAAACCCTAAACATCAATATTTACAACCAACAATTTCATCGGAGGAATTTTTGAACTTACCTTTTGTTAAGCCTCAATATTTTGAAAACGAAATAAGTTTTACAAGATGGCCTGGTAGTATAGCTGAAACATCGAAAGATAAAATATCTTTGGAATTTGAACACGCAATGGTCGAAAATAATGTCGGTCATTATTCTGCTAAACTGGATTGGAATGGACAAAGTACGCTGGCTGTTGTACAAAGGTTAACGCGATTAAGTCTCAATGGAGGAATATTATATAGAATATTATGTAATATTCCTAGTAAAGGGGATGGAAATCTCTCTTTATTTTATTTCCCTCATGGATCAAACCAGGTAAATACAACAAATCGATTTTTTAATGGTTCATAATGTTATTTATAAAGAAAATTTAATTTTTTTATAGGGTTCAGCTGTAACAACTTTAAAAGTGATAAATTATGGAACAGGATCAAATTACAAACCATTTGTACTTATATACAATCAACTTTCACTTTCAATTATGACGCCATTAGAACAGACACTTGAATATAACAAAAAAGTTAGATTCGAAGTTAATGTATTCGGAGAGCATCCTACTCCAAAATTGTTAGTATATGAGCAATCATTTAAAACAAAAAAGTATTTAAAAATAGTTGATAAAAATGATGATCAAGATTATGTTACCTTTGTTGGAGATGTTGTAATAAATGATAAAGGAAATTGGAATTTAGCTTATGAAGGTAGTAATAATTATTATAACTATATTGCTACATATGAAGTCAAATAATTATAAGATTTATTTATTTGATATTTATTCTCTTGATCTTATATAAATTATCTTATTCATAATGATATTCATTTCTAATACTAACACTGTAAATATGACTTTAACTTTTAATGATTATACTAATTTCAATAATAAACAATTATTAAAAATAATTTATTAATTATAAAAGGAAAAATTATATTTAAAAAGTAGTAGATTTAGTTTAAATGTAAAAATTATATTAGAATAATAAATAAAATTGATTAAATACTTAAAAAATTTATTATATTTATCATTATAATCCTGAATATCAAAATCTCAAATATTAAATCCTAAATGTTAAAATCCCATAAATATAAAATCTTGATTAATATAAAATCCTGATACTTAATATTCTAAAAAGTGAGTTATACAATTTAATTTAACAAAATATTAAATATTATTTATTTATATAAAGTTAATAAAATAATAAAGTTTTATTTAAATTTGAATAATTTTTTAAAATAATAAAGTTTTATAATACTTTTGCAAATTAATAAAATTATATTTAATTTTAAAATGATAATTATTAAAAATAGGAAGTTTCTTTTGAATATCATTAGCAGAAGAAAATTCTAATGTTA